TCAGCTCCGGCTTGGGCTGGCTGGGATCCGAGGTGGCAGTGGCGTCCGAAGATGCGGCGGCGGCGGGTCGCCGCCGCAGCCGCTTGCCCGAGCTGCCCCTCTGCAGCTCGAGGCTCGCCCAGACCATGTCGCCGCCGCTGCATGGCTCGCCGTCCTGTTTCCCCTTCTTCTCGCTCTCGCCCTCGGCACCGGCGTCGCCATCGGCGTCGAAGCCGGCGTTGGTGCGGGCCCTGCGGACGGCGCGGTTCCAGGCGGCGTGGAGCTGCTCCTCGCCCTGCCCGGCCTCGCCGCCCTCGACCTCTGCGACGCGCTCCTCGAGCATCCTGCCGAGGCGGAGCATGCGGTGGTAGGCGTCGGCCATGTTGCCGTTGACGGCCATGTAGCTGTGGATCTTCATCATCATCGAAAGGGTGTGGAGGACGAAGAAGCCGGATTGGACCCAGGGCCACTCGCGGTAGCGGGCCCACTTGATGACGGCAAAGAGGAGGGCGCTCTGCCACAGGTGCTGGAAGACGACGGCGGTGGGCCAGTAGCGCACCCAGCCCCTCTTGCAGACCTTGATGAAAGGCACGCAGATGAAGGTGCTGGCGATGAGGACGGCGTCGCTGAGGGCGAGCATGCGGGCGTCGCGGCTGAAGAGGGTGGCAAAGGTCATGCTGAGCACCTTGCCCGTGTCGGCGAACGAGGTGTAGGACGTGTTGAGGACAAAGAGGCCGATGCTGATCCAGAAGAGGGTGAAGAATCCGCGGAACTGGTCCGTCGACGAGCTGCTGTTCTCGCGGTTGAAGTGCGAGTGGCGGGGCTTGAACGAGACGATGGCGCGGATGCGCTTCCGCCGCGACGTCGACGCGGGCTGCGGGCGGAGGCGGACGGCGCCGTCCTTGCCGACCTGGGCGGTGATGCCCTTGGCGCCGACGTGGGTGATCTTGGCGGTGCTCACCTCGGCCTCGCCGCTTCCCGTGCCCCGGGTGATGGTGGTGGTGAGCGTCGAGGTGGCGACCATCTGCTCGCTGTCGGACAGCTCCGATGCGGTGGATCCAGTCGGAGTGGCCGCCCCCGAGGCCGAGGCGGGTGTCCCGACGCTGGGCGTCGACTGCGCCGAGTCGGCATCGCCCTGCTGCCGCACCGACTCGATCCGCTTGTCAAAGTAGTCGGTGGCACGTATCGGCGAGGGCGAGGGCGAGGGCGCGATGGCCGTCGCCGCCGCTGCATCAGTCTGCTCGGTCATTTCGGCAGCGAAGGAAGGGGATTCCGAGATCCAGGGACTCGGTCGAGTGCTACGCCGCGTCTATGCGCAAGGGCTGTATGATGGAGGGCGAGGACGAGGTGGCAATAGGGGCTGATCCAGATGAAGCTGGTCGAGGTTTGCGAACAGAGCGGAGGTGCGGGCGTCTATCGAGGGCAGGGAGGCAATCCGAGGGCGTCGGAAGCAAGCGAGCGAGGGCGAGCAGGCAAGCAAGGTGGCGGCGGGGCTCTATAAAGGTCAGAGTCGAGGTCGGGAACGAGACGAGGGTCGCTGGCGGATCGTTGGATCGGGAGAGCAAGTCCGTGAATCGTTCGGAAGGGCCGGGCCGCGCTTCCGTCCGAGGCGAGGCGGGGAGCAGGGTCGGGCCGTTCAAGATGGAGCGATGGCCGGAAGGAGGTCCGAGGTCGTGATCAGGCCGAGAGCGGGGGCCGGTGGTCGATGTCGTGATGCGCTCTTGTCGTCGTCGTCGTCAGCTCGATAGCAGAGCGGCCGCTTGACGGTGTGAGCGGATCGGATTCGATCAGAGAGCGTGGAGCTGATGGTGGCGGCAGTTCGAGGGGCGGCAGAGGGACTCCTTGGGTAGGACCGGCCGCCGGCAGCTGGGCACCGAGAGCACAAACCAACACCTGCCTGCCCGCCCACCCGCCAAGACATCGAGGCCGGGCCACCCGAAGCCACCCCTTTTTCTGCCGCCGCTCCGGAAGTCGGAGGGGCGTGGCAGACTTCTCACGCTGCGCAGCATCGTCATCCCCAGACGGCCGCACAGCCAACCCGCGGCTGGTCGGCAGGCTAGGGCTGCCGGCCCGGACGCCAAGCAAGTTCTCCTCTTCGGAACCGAGCAGGCCGGGGGGCCAACCGCCGTCCGCAACCCGAGACGGCGCCGCCAAGGGGCCGTCATGGCTCGAGCCCCACCACCACCACCATCTCCTCCTGCTCCTCCTCCTCCTCCTCCGCCTCCTTCATCGCTGTCGCCGTCCTTGATCACCGCCGCCGTTGCCATCGTCCAGTCGGAGTCGACCTACGAACCCTGCTCGTCTTTCCAGCTTCGGTCGACCAGCGTACGCTCCTGTACCGCCTCTCCGAACTCGATCTCGATCCTCCTCCCACGGACTGAACCCTGCTGCAGTCGTCAAGATGCTGGCCGCCTCCTCGTCCTCGACGGCCTCTGCGCTGCTGAGATGCTCGGCCATCGCGTCGACCTCATACGCGCCGACGCTTCGCATCGCCCCGGCGCTCATCTCTGCCTCGCCCTCCGATCGTCCATCAAGACGGCGTGTCCCGTCCTCGCCCTTGTTGTCCTTTTCTCGTCCGCTCTCGACATCAGTCCCGCGGCACGATACCCGACCCAGCCCCTCGCCGATATCGAACTACGCACGAGCCTTTTCGAGCACGCCGATCGTCCTGGCCCACCACTTTGACACGCAGGCGTTTGTGCAGCGGCTCGAGGCGTCCGGCATCAACAAGCAGCAGGCTGATGTCCTGGTCGAGACGCTGAGGGACGTCATCGACGAGAGCATCGGCAACCTCGCCAGAGGGCTGGTGACGAGAGAGGAGGCGGAACAGAATAACTATACGCAAAAGGTGCGCTCTCTCGCTTTCGTCGCACAGTAGTGGCAGCGGTCCGCTTCGTGAGGGTGTCGCCATCTCACGCCGCCCCGCCTCTGCGTGGCAACCCCTCTCTGTGCCCTGCCGCCGCCCCGCTCTCGCCGCTGCAGGTCGACTTTACGCGGCTCAAGTCTGAGCTGCAGCTGCTGGAGCGCAACGACTTCGCCGTCATGAAGTCGGAGAATGAGCGGCTCATGGCCGACGTCGAGAAGCTCAAGCAGAGGCTGCGCGAGGAGATCACGCGGACGACGGCGGGTGTCCGACTGGATCTCAACCTCGAGAAAGGTAGGCGCAGCGCCCATCTCTAGCATGCACACGCGGCCGTCGCTGCCACCACTGTCCCAACAGAATCTGACTGATGCTCTCTGTCACGCCGTCCGATCTGCAGGGCGAATCCGGGACGAGTCGTCGGTGCACGCGCTCAAGATCAAGGAGGTCGACACGCGCATCGAGTCCGAGATCGCCGGGCTCAGGACGTCGATTCAGAGTGCCAAGTTCAACGTGCTCCAGGTGCGTCTCTGTCCCGCCAGATTCTTGCCTCGCCTGCCGCCGCGACCCGCCCGCTGACCGATGGACCGGCTGCTGACCTTCCGTCCCTGATCGACCCTCGCAGTACCTCGTCGGTGTGGCCACCGGTGCGGGTGCCCTGCTGCTCGCCTACCTCCGCATGTTCCGCTAGACCGAGGGTCATCCCTCGACGACGCAGACGCCGGCACGATGGAATGGGACAAGGATGCACTGCCTCCATTCACAGCACGCCGACCAAACTTGGCATGGCCCACCGCGACTACCCGACCGTGTACAAGTCGCCCTCGACCTCCCACTTGATGCGGTTGCGCAGCAGCCGCGCCCAAAAGTGAATGATTGGGTCCCACTCCTTTTGGCCCGTCGGCATTGCCTCGGTCGCCATCTCGCCGCCGCGTTGGGCGACGGGCATCAGCTTCTCGATGTTGAGCGCGCGCGTCGCCTTTCGCAGCGAGGCGATCGTCGATGTCGGCGGCGATGGCATGCGGTGCAGGTACAGCACCGGCGTCGTCGGCAGCGGGTCTATCGTCGGGTGCTGTGCGGCAGTCAGGAAAAAGACAGAGCCGATGGACACGTTCCGGACGGGGTCAATTGGGCCATGGTCGCTCGGGCGTTGGAGAAGTGCGCGCCACGCCGACTCACCGAGACGAGACCGGCGCAGACGCTGACGACGCTCCCGATCTCGATCGTCTTGGGGTTGGTCGGCGGCGCTTCGCCTGCTGCTGGCGCGGCGGCCGCTTCCCTGGCCCGGCGTGCCCGGTTGAAGGCGACCATTGACTCGAGCGCGACGCTTCCGCCTTGTCCGAAGCCGAAGAGATGCAGCGCAAAGGTGGGCCAGCCGCATCCGCCGTCGTCGGTCGGGGCCGAGAGGTAGTCGAGGAGCAGCTTGATGCCTGCAACGGTCGCAGTTGGATCTGGCTTGGTGAGGACTGCAAGCGGGGCGGCGGTAGCCCAAGGGACGATCGACGCCTCAGGCTGTCAGTCCTTGATCTGCTTGGCGACTGCGGTCGCACCGGCCGGCCGGCCACATCGACTCACTCTCGGCGAAGCTGTCGAAGGTGTCCCACCACATCCAGGCCTCCTCGCCCTGATCGAGGAAGGGCACGCGCTTCGACGCCTGGACGCTGAGGATCGACGTCTGGGGCAGCGTCTTTTGCAGCGACTGGCCCAGGGTCGCAAAGGGGCGCGCCGTGTCGCCGAGGCCGTGAAAGAGGAGGAGCAGGTTGGATTCGGTGCCCGACGGGGCCGGCGAATAGCTCAGCACCGAGGGGATCAGAGGGGCCACGTCCGAAGAACGCGACGACGCAAAGGCACAAAAGCCCGAGGGGGTTGGCGGCGGCTTGACCTTGGACTCGGGCTCGATTGGGTGGACGGTGATGGGTTCGCCGTCCTTGCCCTGCGGTCGGCCGGCGCGCCAAAGGGGGAAGGCGGGGAGAAGACAGAGAGGTCAGTCCGACATCTGCGCAGGGCAAGGCACTGGATGCGAGGGTACGTACGACGAGGAGAAAGGGGGGACAGCAGCGCTAGGGAGGGGCGACCGAGGGGTGGCCGGATCAGCCTCCACTCACTGGTGGGATGACGGCGACCTCTTGGCCCGGGCGGAGGGTGACGCCGCCGACCTCGTCTGCGTCGATCATGTCCTGGTCGATGCTCCACTTTGACGACTCGAGGAGCGTGCGCAGCTCGTCGGCGTGGTCTGGGTGGCGCGACGCGAGCAACTCGGGCAGCGCCGAGAGGGGCAGCGTGTCCTTGCCCTCGGGAAAGGCGAGCGTCTCGGTCGAGGTGCCGAGGAGCGTGCGCGCCCCGGCAAAGTAGAGGATGGTAATGGGTCGAGGCGCTGTCGAGGCAGAGGGGGCATCGAGGAGCGGTCAGCACGCGCGTGGCCATGCTGGGTGCAGAGCAGAGCACGGTGCAATCGATGCTCACCGGTCATTGCTGCGGCCGTGCTGTCTCGAGGGGCCGTGTTGAGCGGCGGGTGTGTGTGGTCGGGATGGGTGAGGATGGAGACGGGAGAGAGGAGCCGGCGGGACCGTCGTCGGCGGAAGAAATGCAACGCCAAAAGGCGAGGGAAAATCCAGAAGCTCGAGGCACGAGGCCAGGCAGCCAGGCGGCCAGGCAGCCAGACAGAGGGCACGCGCGCAGGCCACGCCAGCGTGCATCGCCGGCCAACGCTGCTGGCTCGGGCCACCCACAGACCAACCAACACCGCCCGCCAGCCAGACGACGCGACGCTCCCTTCCTTCTTTGCCACCCAACCACGACCGCCACCTGTCGCCCACCACTCAGCACCGCCCAATTACCGCAGCGGACCCCATAACTGGACCACCGGCCACCGCCTCAACCGACAACTACCCGCCGCTCATATCAACCACTCTCGTCGTCAGCCAGGCCCACCCCAACCACCGCCGTCGATCGAGGAACCCCGGATAGGCGACTCCGCGGCCACACCACCGCCAGCCATGATGCTGCTGCGGCCACAGTCACGCTCGCCAACACCTCCACCACCGCCATCACGCACCCGGCACACACGGGCACCGCTGCCCAGGACCGACGATGCGATACCGCGGCGGACATCGCTGCGCAGCCTGCGGCCCCTCGTCTGGCTCGCAGCGCTGGCCTGCGCCCTCGCCTTGCTAGCGAACCCGCCACAGGCATCGGCGCTGCTCGGCGGCGTCTCGAGCGGAGGCAGCGACGGGATCCAGCCGCGCGCGTCGAGCCCGGCAGTGTCGATATCCCGCTTCGCCCACCTCCCCTCGAAGCTCGCCTACTTTGACGACAGCACCTCGCTCCTCTACCACGACGGATCAGAGGGCAACGTCTACCGCTCCGAGGACGAGGGCAAGACGTGGAAGCTCGTCAGCGGACCCGCAAAGGGCGCTGCCTACATGCTCGTGCAGCACCCGCACGACATCAAGCAGGCCTACATCCTCTCCAACGCAAAGACCCACTGGCGCACCACCAACCGCGGCGCGTCCTGGCAGGAGTTCAAGACGCCGGAGCCGCCCGCCGTCCGCGCCGGACCGCCCCTCGAGTTCCACGGCGACCAGCGCCACTGGGACCACATCATCTTTACCGGCAAAAAGTGCACCATGTGGACCCCCTGGGGCGGCGCCATCTGCCACGACCAGGCCTACTACACCACCGACGCCTTTGCCTCGGGCGTGGAGCCCCTCATCGAGTTCGCCATGCACTGCACCTGGGCAAAGGCCACGCGGGACATCGACGTTCACCCCGACGCCATGAAGCGCATCTTCTGCATAGCCTGGGAGGACGCGCCCACCTCGTCGTCGGCGCTCGAGGCGCCGGGAGCGGCGGCGGCATCGTCGCCGTCGTCGCCGGGACGGGGGAGCAGCTGGGTGCGCTGGACCAGGCGGGCGATGCCGGCGACGACGCGCCTCTTCCAGAGCGACGACTTTTTCAAGACGCGCAAGATGGTCGAGCTCGACATGGGCCGCAACGCGCGCAGCTTTGCCGGCCTGGGGCCCTCGAAAAAGTTCCTCGTCACGGCGCTGCGCGAGAGCCAGGGCACCAGCGGCAGCTCCGGCATGGCCCTCTTTGTCACGCGCGACGGCGTAAAGTGGCAAAAGGCCCAGTTCCCGCATGGCTCCGAGCTGCGCGAGAACGCTTACACGGTCGTCGACAGCACGCTGCACTCGCTCATGGTCGACGTCCTCGACTCGCTCGGCTCCGACACGGGCGTCCTCTTCACCAGCGACAGCACCGGCACGCAGTTTGTCAAGAGCCTCGAGGGCACCAACCGCAACTCGCGCGGCCTCGTCGACTTTGAGCACCTCCAGAACATCGAGGGCGTCGGCATCGCCAACGTCAAGGCCGAGTCGGACGGCGCCACGCGCAGCATGATCACGTTCGACGACGGCAGCCACTGGCACCCGCTGCGCGCCCCCGCGGTCGACGCGGCGGGCAAGCGGACCGCGTGCGACCCCAACGACGCCGAGCGGTGCTCGCTCCACCTCTACTCGGTCACCAGCCTGCACAACACCGGGCGCGTCTTTTCGTCGACGGCGCCCGGCTTCGTCATGGGCGTCGGCTCCGTCGGGCGCCGGCTGCTGCCGTACGAGGAGTGCGACACCTTCCTCAGCACCGACGCCGGCCGCACGTGGCGGATGGTGTCGTTTGACGCGCACAAGTACGAGTTTGGCGACCAGGGCTCGGTGCTCGTGATTGTCGACGACGAGGACATCACCGACCACGTCAGCTACTCGTTCAACCACGGCAAGGACTGGAAGCGGCTCGACCTCGGCCTCAAGGTGCGCGCCAAGCTGCTCACCACGATCCCCGACAGCACCTCGCTCAAGTTCCTGCTGATCGGCACCCAGACCCGCAAGGACGCCGGCGGCCAGAGCGACCGCAACGTGGCCATCCACCTCGACTTTGCCACGCTCGGCAAGCGCAAGTGCGGCGAGGGCGACATGGAGCGGTGGTACGCCCAGGCGGCCGCCGACAAGAGCTGCCTGATGGGCCACCGCCAGTGGTACAAGCGGCGCAAGGCCGACGCCGACTGCGTCGTCGCCGACAAGTTCCACGACCCCGAGGGGCGCGAGGACCCATGCCCGTGCACCGACGCCGACTACGAGTGCGACTTTGGCTTCGTCCGCGACTCGGCGGGCCGGTGCGTGTCGACGGGCCTGCCCAAGATCCCGGCGGGCGAGTGCACCCAGCCGTCGCAGAAGACGTACCGCGGCTCGTCGGGCTACCGCCTGATCCCCGGCGACTCGTGCGACCGCGGCCGCGGCGTCAAGAAGGACGAGGCCGTCGAGAGGCCGTGCGACCAGGGCCAGCCCGAGGCCGGCCGGGTGGCCCACCAGCTGCACGAGTTCCCCGGCGTCGTCATCGACCAGATGTACTTTCCCGAGTCGTCGAGCGTCGTGGTGCAGCTCACCGACGGCTCCGCCTGGCACTCGCTCAACGACGGCTACTCGTGGAAGCAGCTGGTGGCGCCCAGCGATGCCGGCGACCCGGACACCAAGGTGCTGACGATGGCGCTCCACGCCCACGACAAGAGCCGCGGCTACCTCATCACGGCCGGCCAGAAGGTGTGGTCGACGATCAACAAGGGCGTCTCGTGGGACTGGTTCAGCGCGCCGCTGCCGGCCAACGGCCTCGGCATCCCCGTGCTCGACTTCCACCCGGACCGCAGCGACTGGCTGATCTGGACGGGCAGCCGCAACTGCGTCGTCGCCACCGACGGCGGCGGCGGCTGCCAGGCCGTCGCCTACGTCACCGTCGACAACGGCCGCCACTTTACGCGCCTCGACAACTACGTCCGCATCTGCTCGTTTGTGCGCGACGCCCGGCTCAAGGTCGACGCCCGCACCATCTTCTGCGAGAGCTACAAGGACAAGAGCGGCGACCAGAAGTCGTTCACCTCGGCCAACCACCTGCAGCTGGTGTCGGGCCCCAACTTCTACCGCAACAAGAAGGAGGTCCTCTTCGAAAACATCATCGGCTGGGCCACGTTCGAGCAGTACCTCGTCGTGGCCCAGTATGATGACGCCACGCAGCCGCCGACGATGCGGCTCAAGGTGTCGCTCGACGCGCGCCGCTTTTCCGACCTGCACTTCCCGCCCGACCTCGACGTCAAGACGCGCGCCTACACGGTGCTCGACTCGGTCACCGACTCGATCTTCCTCCACTTCACCACCCACTCGGGCGCCGGCAGCGAGTGGGGCACGCTGCTCAAGAGCAACTCGAACGGCACCTACTTTTCGCGCTCGCTCGAGTACGTCAACCGCAACGACAAGGGTTTCGTCGATTTTGAAAAGATGCTCGGCCTGGACGGCGTGGCGCTCATCAACGCCGTGGCCAACCCGGACGAGGCGGCGCTCTCCGGACGCAAGGACCTCGTCAGCCGCATCACGCACAACGACGGCGGGCGCTGGAAGCCGCTGACGCCGCCGGTCCGCGACGCCTTTGGCAACCCGTACGAGTGCAACGCCGTCGGCTGCAGCCTGCACATCCACGGCTTCACCGAGCGCGACAACCCCAAGGCCACCTTTAGCAGCCCGTCGGCCGTCGGACTGATGCTCGGCGTGGGCAATGTCGGCCGCAAGCTGTCGCCCTACCGCGACAGCGACACGTTCCTCACGCGCGACGGCGGCTTCACCTGGGAAGAGGTGCACAAGGACGCGCACCGGTGGGAGTTTGGCGACCAGGGCTCGATCATCATCCTCGTCAACGACGAGGACGCCACCGACACGGTGCTCTACTCGCTCAACGAGGGCCTGACGTGGGAGTCGTACAACTTTGGCCAGAAGCTGCGCGTCGTCGAGATCCTGACGGTGCCCGAGGACACCCACCGCAAGTTCTTGCTGCTCGGCAGCCCGACGGGCTCGTCGGGCCACACGGTCGCCGTCTACCTCGACTTTTCGGCGCTCCAGACGCGCAAGTGCAAGCTCAACGTGGCGCGGCCCGAGGAGGACGACTTTGAGCTGTGGAGCCCGAGCGAGAGCCGCCAGGAGCCGTGCCTGTTTGGCCGCCAGACGTACTACTACAAGCGCAAGCGGCAGGCCGACTGCTACGTGGGCGAGACGATTGTGCAGCCGCACGAGGTGGTGCGCAACTGCAGCTGCACCGCCGCCGACTTTGAGTGCGAGTTCAACCACTACCGCCGCCCCGACACCAACGAGTGCGTCCTGTACCCGGGCACCTCGGCGCTGCCCACCGACGACGTCGGCCAGTGCTGGGCCGCCGACAGCGACGGCTACTGGTACGAGCGGACCAGCATGCGCAAGATCCCGCACTCGTCGTGCACCGGCGGCAAGCGCCTCGACCGCGGCGCACGCCACATCTGCAGCAACAACCCGGCCAGCCACGGCTTCTTTTGGTGGGCCACCGTCATCGCGTGCCCCTTTGCGCTGGCCGGCTTCGTGGGGTGGTGGTGGAACAAGAAGCAGCAGCGCGCCGGACGAGGGTGAGTAGGGCGCGCGTGCCCGGGACAGAAGCGAGAGCAATCGTATGGCATTGACGGCTGACTTGCCCAACCTACCCACACCTGCCTTTTCCTCCCTGCCCCTTCCCTGCCGCACCCACGACAGGAGCATCCGGCTGCCCGACACGTCGCGCTACACCGACTCGGAGTTTGCGCAGAACGTGGCGTCGGTGCCGCGCTACGTCGCCGGCCTGGCCAGCCTGGGCTGGTCAAAGCTGGTCGAGACGCTCGAGGGCGTGCCGTTTGTGCGCGACCGTCTGCGCCGTTCGCGCGGCAGCTACGGCGGCTACCGCAACCTGACCACCGACGAGGACGCCGAGGTGAGCAGCCGGAGCCGGGCGACTGCACCGCGATTGGGACGTGTGAGCGGGACGTAGCGTTGCTGACCGCCGTGCCTCTTTCTCTGCCTGCCTGCCTGCGACGCAGATCCTGCGCGACTACGAGGACGAGGAGCTGGACCGCTAAACGAGGCAGCGGCGGCGGCAGCGGCGGCGGCAGCGGCGGCGGCGGCGATGTGCGTGGCGGATGGGTGGAGAGGGGCATAGAGGCATGCTCCGAGGGACCCCACCCGCTCGAGCGTCGCGATGTTTATATAAAGGGCCCCATGCTGGCTCGGAAACGAAATCACCAAAAGCAGGCAGGAAGGTTGAGATTGAACAATCGCCAACGGCGTCTCTGAGAGGCATCGGGGGGCCGGATCGAGGGAAGATGGTCGCGTCGGTGTGGCATCGGGGCGACTGGAACGAGGCGAAGAGCAAGCAGCTCGACTGGCGAACTGAGCTGGGGCCGTATCACGAACTGCCAGCCTGCTCGACGCCACTCTACCTCCGTCTCTCTCACGCATGCATTTTGGGGGGAAAGAGTATTGACGTCACACATCGGGTCCGGGCGGTCATGCCGACGTGCGGACGAGGCGGATGGATGGATGGATGGACGCGATGGATGGATGGACGGATGGACCCTGAGATGAGGCGGCTAGGGCATGAGTATGCATCGTGACGCCATCGATCATCGTCGTGCTGCGTCCAGGGCCAGTACGTACCAGCGCCAGCCCGCACTTCGAGGCAAGGTCGCACAACATCTACAGCCACCGTATGTACCGTCAGCCCGACGCCGCTGCCAGTTGGATCCGGGTGGTTCCGTCCGTTTGGGCTGGCGCGGCGTACAGAGTTGCTGGGGGATGGAATACGGATCAACATGAGACGGCCGGACGGGTGTCTATCGTCCCAGGTACTGTGACACCTCCCTGCCAGCTCTGGTCCGCACGTTGTGGGTAGGGAGTCAGACTAGCTGACGGATCGTCGTTGCATCCTACAGGTACCTGTTCGCCACCACACGGTATCACCTGCTCTGTCGTGTCGCTTCAAGCAGCGATCAACGACTGGTTACGAGACATGCTAGGCTAGGCTGGAAGGGGAGGCGCTAGCGTTGTGAATCAGACTTGGGCATGTAACTACATAGCTGCCAACACCGCTCAGCCGCCTCTGCTCCTCCTACCGGTACGGCAACGACGATCTTGCATGGCCGAGTCCAGTCGATGGAACTGGCAGAGGAGCAGGTGAGAGCTAGAGCCAGGCTGGGCAGCTACGCTGTTGCACGCTTCGTGGGTGCGTGTGTCAATTGCCGATGCCAGCTACGAGATCGCATGCAGATGACCTGCGCGGCAATTGGAACGAAGGCGGCCGGGTAGTGTTGAGCTCTGGCCACGTCGTCGCCTCAGACGCCATCCAATGAATCTATGATTACGGCGGCGGTATGATATCAAACCTGTCAAGAGACAGGGCCAAGATTTTCGCGGCTACAGTAACGTGCGCTGCTACTTACATGGCTTAGCCTGGATTTCCTTTCATGTAAGACGTGGTGGGATGGCAGGTCATTGTGGTGATTCCTCACCCGCAGGCCGCCTTCCTCGTGCCGTTGGCTACCTCATGTGAAGGCGGGGTGGCGGCGAAGCCTAGTCAGCTTGACAGGTGAACGGCATCCAGACCGAGGGGCTGCGGGAGAGGGGAGCCGGAAAAAAAGGGCTTGGCCGACGACAGCAAGCGTCGTCGAGGGTGGGGACTGCGCACCGACGCCACAGACACCGGTGTCGCGATGTCATCACCTCCTGCCCTCTCGCGCAGCAAACGATGGCGACGGACGCACGGGCTCAGCCTGCCGGGCAGGGTCCTGCGTATCGGCCGGCCGGCTGGCTGGCCGCCGTCCGGGGGGCGGTGTTGGGGAAAACAGGCAGGCAGGGGAAAGAGGGTCGCTCGGCGACTCTCGGTTGGAGATGACGAACGACGATCTCAGCAGCAAGTCTGAGTCAAAGGCAGAGGAAGGGAGAGAGAGCGAAGGAGGGAGGACGAGGCGGGCACCCGTCCAGAGGATGGAGTGGAGACCCTTGGTTGCTTTGCGCTTCGATCCCGACCGGGGGTTTGGGGCCAAGGCCGACGCCGGCGGAGGAGTTCTGTAAGCGATGGGTTGAGAGGGAAAGGCCGGGGGCGAGGCCCAGGGCAAGATGCAGAGCCAGAGCCAGGGCCACGAAGCCAAAGCGTCACCGTGCTTGTTTGGCCGGCCAAAGGGTCCTCTTTGGTTTGATGCGACGAGCGAGCGAGCGGTAGCGCCCAAGGGGTGGCCGCTCCGCTGCCGCTCGTCTTTTCCTCTCGACCACCCAAGCAAGGTCCGAGCGCAGTAGCAGTCTTTTCTTTGCCTCGTCGCCGGCGTGACCGAAGCTCGAGCTTCGTCGAAAGCCGACCGTCGCACGCCAGAGGCCTAGTAGTCTGCCCCCTGGGGCCGGGCCTGTCTCAGGGCACAGACGTTAGTGTGCCTTTCCCTTCCGTGCGTGCCTTTGCCTACAGTACCTGCCTGGCCCCATTCCCTGGCCTTCCTTTCTCGGCAGTCTCGAGGATGAGGATGATGACGATGTCCGCATCCCCTCGCTCCCCGTCCAGACCGTGCGCGTCCCCGTCTGTCCGGAATCGAGACGCCTTCCCGTGCCGACCGTATAAGAAGGCCAGCCCGCCGTCGTCTGTGCGTCGCCGCCACCCACCTCCGGTTTCTTCTACCACCAGCTACCACGTTTTGTTTCCACGATACCACGCCGATAGCATCGTCTAATCCGATCCCAGCCAGCCAGCCAGCCAAGCGAACGCACACCCGCCCGTTCGCCCCGCTCCCCCACCGCATCGCTTTCAATCGCCTGTCTTGGCCTTTTGTTAGCACCACCCACCCGCCCATCCACCCCATCGAATCGATCTCGATTGCGCTAGCCGCCTCCTGATCAGGTCCCAATACCCGTCCGACCCTCTCGACACTCGCACGCACGACTGCCGCCACCACCATGTCGTCGCTCCCCCCAGCCAAGAGCGAGATCTCGGAGAAGCCGTCGAAGAACTCCGTCACTCGCGCGGTCGACCCCAGGGCCAAGGAGGCCGACACCGAGCGCGCCTCGAGGCTCTTTGGCGTCGTCCAGGCGTTCCGCGAGGGTCGATACCCCGACAACAAGCAGATTGACGTGAGTTGAGTCGATGCCGTGTACCTTCGAATGCGCAAAAGAGGGCGAGGGCGAGATCGGAGCTGGATGTAGAACCCAGTCGGATGGACGACGTGCTCGGAAGTCTTCGGGATCGATGGAGTGCAAGGTGGATGGAAATATTCCAACTGCCGCCGTGCAGCGGATGCTGACCCTGCCTGCATGCATCTCTCGTTCCCCTCTCCGCAATAATTGCCGCCCGGCCCGCTCAGGATACCCTCAAGTACACGCTTGCGCACAGCCCCATCGACGAGACCAAGCTCTCGTCCGATGGACGCACCCTGGTCAAGGATGTCCGCGAGCTCATCGAGTCCGGTGAGTGACCTCATGTCGTCCTGCCATATTGGATCCTACCCAGCTCGAGCGGCTAGCCGCAGCTGGGTAGCGGCTGATTGAGCCGCGCCACGCCGCGCCCCGGACACGCCGGATGGCATTTTCTGACAGCTCGGCGTTTTTCCCTCCTCGTCCCCCCTGGCCCCCTCTGCCCCTCCTGACCGCAGCGCGCCAGATGGTGATGGAGAAGAACAGCAACGAGGAGTTCCAGAACTTCCTCTACGCCACCCGCAAGGCCGATGTCGCCCGCAACGTCAACGTCGCCTCGCCCCTCAGCAAGGACGAGGCGCAGAAGCACGGCGAGTCGGCCGGCGAGGCCTTCCGCACCCTCGTCACCCTCTTCCTGCGCAACGGCGAGCTGCGCAAGATCTTCCAGGACCTCGGATACGTCGGCCGCGACATGTTTGCCGATGGTGCCGCCAAGGCCGCCGAGGTCTCGCGCCCGCACGAGGAGAAGCTGGCCCAGGTCGACCAGCCCGCCCCCGACAACGAGTTCCACGACGAGATCCCCGGCGCCCTCCAGAAGCGCAAGGCCGAGGAGAAGGCCGAGCGCGCCAGGGAGGCCGCCCGCACCGAGGGCGCCGACCACGCCCAGGACGTCGCCGACACCCTCGACCCCAACGCCTCGCGCGAGCAGAACCAGGCCCGCCTCGCCGACAAGGCCAACGAAAAGGCCAACATCCTGTCGAGCAAGATCCCCCAGAAGCACAAGGACAACCTCCGCGAGCAGGCCGACAAGACCCAGGACTACCTCAAGGAGAAGTTCCCCAAGGAGCGCCGCGACCAGTTCATCTACCGCCTCAAGAAGGTCGTCATCGAGTGCCAGCGCCACCCCGACTACGAGGACGCCATCGACTACTTTATGACGCTTTTTGAGCAGTACAAGGGCCACGCCAGCTCGGTGCAGAACCAGGCCACCCAGAGCGCCAGCCAGGTCCGCGGCGAGGGCAACGTCGCCACCGCCGAAAACGCCTTCCGCACCCTCATCGAGCGCTTCGCCAACGGCAGGCCCACCCAGCCCATCCTCGACGCCATCGACCAGCTCTACACCGACGCCCGCAACGACGGCGAGCTCCGCGACTGGTTCCAGCGCCTCGACACCTACGTCCGCCGCGCCCTCCAGGAGCCCGGCTTCATCATGAAGGACGAGGCAGACACCCAGGCCCGCCAGCTCCGCGACTCGGGCAAGAAGTTCTTTGTCTCGCCCGACGCCAGCTCCAACCAGCAGGGCGGCAAGTACCAGCCCCACTTTAAGAACCTCGCAAACCAGATCGAGTTCTTCTTCAAGGGCATGGGCGACGACCCCCTCAACCAGAAGTTCGGTGAGTCCCCCTTCCCCCGCACACCCTGCGGCCCAAACGCATCAGACTGACCCAAGAACCCGTCTAAACCCTCAAATTGGCACACAGGCGAGGACATCAAGAGGCTCACAAAGGACCTGTTCTTGAATGCCGATGGGAAGCCGTCCTTCAAGCCGCATTTGTGGGCGGATGTGTCTAAGACGATTGGCCCCGCTCTGCTGTCCCGTGAGTGCCTCTCATCCACATCTTCAATCCCAGGTTTCCAGCGGAGAGGCCTCCCATCCTTGCAGACATGGTGTGACTGACGATCTTGACCTTTCCTATGCTCTCTCGCGCCACTTTTACGCCTCAATCCCTTAGACATCGGTGAGTGGTCTCTATCTCGCAACATGCCTTGTATCTTCGCCGTGTCGTCCATGCGCCTTTCGTGCGCTGCCTGGCTGCTCGGGGCCATGCACTGGGGAGACGAGTGCGGAGGTCGGGTCAGGGCGCCGACTGGCCAGCCGCAGGGAAAAGGCTATAACGCCGCCGCCTCCTGCTGTCTGTGGTGCCGGAGCGCCTCCATTGGGTCCCTACGCTCGAACGTTCGGAGCCCGGTCGTCGTCACGTCGAGGTTGCCTCGTGGCTGCCGGCGCGTTCAGGACCTGCCCTGCTCGACCCCGATGCGTGGTACCAGGACATCACACTGACCATCAGCTTTCTCATGCCGTCCGTCTTCTACCCCACGTCGTCCACACCAGGATCGATCCCGCTGCCCAGGATGGAGTACGCCGACAAGCAGAACGAGCTGCTGATCGAGGACCTCAACATCGACCCGCTCAACGTGCTCCCCTCGGTCTACGAGATCGAGAACCGCAACCACATGAAGTTCTCGGCCTTCAAGGAGATCCCCAACCAGGCGCAGCACAGCCTGAAGCTCACCATCTACCAGATCCAGCTCGACATCCGCGACGTCAACTTTCACTACCGTCGCATGTCCGGATTCAAAATCCAGGAGTCTGGGAGGGCGGACATTCTGTTGGGTGGCAAGGGCTTGACGCTCCAACTCGCTCTGGACTCAGAAAGTCGCAAGAACCACATTTTTACGGTCAAGTCGGTCAAGGCGTCGATTGACAAGATGTCGTTCGCCATCAAGGGCACGAAGCACGACCTGCTTGCCAAGCTGGTGCGCCCGCTCGCCATTGGGCTGATCAAGAAGTCGATCTGCAAGGCTGCCGAGCAAGGTATCCGCAACGCGCTCGAGGACCTCGACCGCAACCTCGTTGAGCTTCGCGACCGTGCCGAGCGCAACAAGGATGTCGAGGGCAAGGGCTTCGGCGATGCCTTCAAGGAGACGTTCCAGAAGGACAAGAGCAGCGCCAGCGACAAGGAGAGCAAGGGCACGTTCAAGTTTGTCACGTCCAAGCGCCAGTCGATGATGCCCGACGTCGGCCACCCGGACGGCCTGGTGCAGAGGCTCGACGAGCGCAGCGAGCTGGCCAAGTCGACTGGCAACTCGCACAAGGAGTGGTACTCGCCCGCCTTCAACCTGGTCGCCGAGGGCCAGCCCAACCCCAAGAACACCGAGAGCGCCAAGACGGCCGGCCTGGGCAGCAAGCAGACGGCCGCCACCGCCGCCGGTGCTGCGGGCGTCGGTGCCGGTGCCGCTGGCATTGCCGCCGCCACTGCCTCGCGCGGTCACGGCGCTGGCCAGCCCGGTCAGACCTCGACGGCCTACACCAACCCTAGCGCGACCAACGCTGGCCCGGTCAACACCACCACCACCTCGGCCGCTGGCTCC